AGGGACCTTAGAGCAGAGATTCAACATGTCCTTAACACTGAATCTCAGTGTCAAAAAAGCAAAATTGTAGAATTTTGCCTATCTCGCAACTATTAAAAGGCAACATAGTGTCATTTTTCAAGTAGCATCTATTCTCTACAGACAAGCAATTCTAAAAATACAAGCATGTCCCACTATTTTGGCTTTCTTTTAGGTTTTCCCCTGACATTAAGTCTAGTTGTGTCCGACTGTGGGGGTTGGTGCTCACCTCCATATCTAAGCCAAAGAGCTGGCGTTGTACATAGACACCTCCAAGGTCATCTGGCCAGTATGACTGTATGGAGCACTGTTACCTTCCCGCCCGAGTGGTTCCTATTGGTCTACTCACATTTGCATGTTTTCGAACTGCTATACTGGCAGGAGCTGGGGCTAACAACGGGAGCTCTCGCCGCTCCCCAGATTCGAACCAGTGACCTTTCGGTCAGCAGATCAGCGGTTTAACTCACTATGCCACTGGGGGCTCCTGGCTTTCATTTTATGATCACCATATTATCAGCATGCACAGGTATTTCCCAATAAATGTCCTAGCCTTTCAGTTACACAGCAACAATAAATCATTTTAGAATGCCAAAGAAAAAGACTCTACTGCTTCTGATTCTAATTGCTGTAGTTTAAAGAGCATGCCTTGTGTCTGTGATAAAAACAGGAAGGTAAACCTATCTGCAGCATTAGATTTTGAAAGATGTGATGTTTGAAGCCTTAAGAACATGCCTGTACAAAAACCTCCCCATGTAGCCCGAGTTCAGTGCTGTGAGAAACAAAACAAAATCTTTTCAAGTAGCTGTGTAAAGTATTAACATCTACCCCCACACACACACAATCAAAATAAGTAACCAAATTATGTTAAACAAAAGGAAAAAGCATTGTAGTAAGTTATACTCCACCACAGAGAGTTGGAATGAATAGGGAGATAGATGTCTTTAGTTGCCTCGGCATGGCACTGTTAGTTTCACGTTTAGATTGCTGGTGCTTAATTTCATGTTGGGATATGCACAGGTAAGCCAATGAGTTCTAGTCTTTTCTATACAACATTGAAAAGCATTTATTTATCTGTGCCTATCCCAATGTGATGGCTGCTAAAAATGAAGTGTCTCTGTTGGTGTATCTTATGATCTTCTAGGATGGGTGGATCTAAATCAGTGGTTCTCAATCTTCCCAATGCCGCACCCCTTAATATAGTTCCTAATGTTGTGATGACCCCCAACCATAAAATTATTTTCATTGCTACTTCATAACTGTAATTTTGCTGCTGTTATGAATCGCCATGTAAATATCTGATATGCAGAATTTATTTTCATTCACTGGACCTAATTTGGCACAAATACCTGATACGCCCAAATTCGAATGCTGGTGGAGTTGGGAGGGATTGATTTTGTCATTTGGGAGTTGGAGTTGCTGGGATTTATAGTTGACCTACAATCAAAGGGCATTCTGAATTCCATCAATGATGGAACTGACCCAGACTTGGCACACAAAACTCCCATGACCAACAAAAAATATTGGAAGGGTTTGGTGGGTATTGACCTTGAGTTTTGGAGTTGTAGTTCACTTACATCCAGAGAGCACTGTGGACTCAAACAAGGATGGATCTAGACCAAACTTGGAGCAAATACTCAATAAATGTGAACATTGTTGAAGTTTGGAGAAAATAGACCTTGACATTTGGGAGTTGTAGTTGCTGGGATTTATAGTTCACCTATGATCAAAGAGTATTCTGAACCCCACCAATGATAGAATTGGGCCAGCCTTCCCACACAGAACCCCCATGACCACCAGAAAATACTGTGTTTTCTTATTGTCTTTGGCAACCCCTCTGACATCCCATCGTGACCCCCCCCCCAAGGTTTTGACCCCCAGGTTGAGAAATGCTGCTCTAAAGAAACTGGCCACTTTCATTCTTACTTTCTTCCTTACCCCACATTCTTGCAGTAACAGCAGCCAAGAAATTATCACAGCAGTTGAATTGCTGCTGATGCCTGAACCACAGTCTTTCTAGGTAGGCAGGTTGTAAAAAAGCAAGAAATCCCTCAGGTCACTCCAAATTCAAAGGGAAGACCCTAACATTTTTTTAGTCCCTCAAACATTAATCCATTCTTCAGCTGTTTGAGGTGGCAGAATATATGCAAATTCACTGGCCCAACAGTACTAAAAAGTATGAAAACTAAGAGCAGTTTTCAGAACCTGTCATTTATAACCACCTCAAAATCACCTGGAAACCAGACAGAAGATGGAATCTGGCAAAAACCCTTTCAATGAATATATGGATGTTTGGAAGTGGCAAGGAAGGGCTCTTGTAGTTTCCAAGTCAAAAGAGAAATGATTTCAGGCTTCTAGGATTGGATTTTTCTAGTTTCTAAAAACTCAAGGTCCTTCCCAGCAAGAGTCAGGTGCAAAATAGCAGCTCGTGGAGGAATAGGAGACGTGCCACATCTGGCTACGCAGCTGAGACCACAAAGTTGTTTTCAGTATCAAAACTGAGTTCATAGTCTAATACAAGAAATCCAGCACTGCTTACTGACACCCACTCTTTTTAGTTCAACAGTTTAATTTAAAAGGGGAAAGGGAAAAGTCTGGGAGTCAGAAAACACTGAATTGCAAAACATCTACATTCTGCCCTCCTATAAAAAACCACACAATTGGAAATAAAGCCATCTCAGAGGCTTCCCTTCTTCCAAAAGATGCCTGAAAAGGCCCAGGAAGCAAATGCTTTCTGGGGTGTTTTAGCCACACTCTTCAATCTATAGCCAAACTGCATGATACTCTCACTGAAAGGTAACTACATATCACTTTCCACTGTGTGACACATTTTGAAATGGTAACTACCAAGTGCAAAAGTCAGAATCACAATACGCTGTAGAGCTGGAAGAAGTTACTTTTTGGACTACCGCTCAAGGAATCTCCCAGCCAACAGAGCCACCGACCATGATGACGGTGAAATTTGGAGTTGTATTTTAAAAAAACAAAACAAAAACCCTATCTTTGACAACAAATAAAACCCCATCTTTTCTAAGGCCCCTTCCACAAAGCCTAATAAAATCACACATTATCTGCTTTGAACTGGAATTTATGGCAGTGTGGACTCAGCTAACCCAGTTCAAAGCAGATATTGTGGGATTTTCTGCCTAGATATTCTGGGTTATATGGTTGGGTGGAAGGGAAGGGCCCTACAATCTATTATTCTGGCATGAATGATGTAATCTATTTATTTGTCATTTTAGTCCACATGATCCTACCATCACAGACAAGGAGCTGCTAGTGTTGGAATTCAACCCCACACTGTCCAAGTCTCAAGTTCTCAACGAGAAGCAGTTAGTTTAGTGAAGAGGAATGTATCTATTTCTTCTCTCCTGTTTCTCCTCTCATTTTTATTAGTTGTTTAAAATTTATACTTTTCCACTGCAAGCTTTTTGAATCTGACTTCTGTCTTCTTACACTTTAGTATGAAGAGTATGTGCTGTGTGCTTTGAGATCTCTCTCTGCTTGTGTGTCAGGAGAGATGCAGTGATGCGTTTTCCCCTCTCTTGAAATCTTAGAAGGGATGGGTGTTACGAGTAGCTCACACCCAGTTCATGATTATTAAGAAATGCAGTTATTTCTTATTATTGTAAATAAACATTTTGTGATTTTTTTAAAAAAAATTGGACTCTGCATGTTTGCAACCTAAGCTCTGAATTCTTTACAGCCACATCACATGGCACCTCACGCTCTGCTCGCTGTCAAGCTGATTCTCAACTTTTGTATCCTGACTGTTTTTGGATGCTCTGCTTTATATTTTAGAGTAGTTTTTCCCCTAACCGCTAGCGCCAGGAGTATAACTCCCAGTAGCATCAATTGATATTTCTATCCAGAGCTTGGAACAGTTACTTTTAATATTCAGGCTCCACCATGGTTACTAGGATAGTCTGGGAGTTGTAGTAAATAATGTTGCACCTTCAGGCTAAGACACTTTCACCCTAAAGAGATCATTTTCATCTGGACCATGGCAAGGCAGGAAAGGGTCAAAACCTAGCCAGCCCGCTCTGGTCCAAAACCTGTCTCCACTCTGTACAAATTAACAATTTTTAAAACTTCTATGATACATGTGATGTGACCTGTGAATCTTTTTTTTTTCTTGCGAGCTCAAAAGACTTTTCCAGAGAAAGTACTTTTTTCAATTTTAAGCTTGTTATTTTTATAGGTGTAATAATAATAATAACAACAACAACAACAACGATGATGATGATGGCTCTCTGGCATAAACCAGTACAGGTGGTCCCAGTGGTCATTGGCGCACTGGGTGCCGTACCAAAAGATCTCAGCCGGCATTTGGAAACAATAAACATCGACAAAATCATGATCTGTCAACTGCAAAAGGCCACCTTACTTGGATCTGCGTGCATCATTCGAAAATACATCACACAGTCCTAGACGCTTGGGAAGTGTTCGACTTGTGATTTTGTGATATGAAATCCAGCATAGAGATCTCGTTTGCTGTGACATATTGTGCTTTTGTGTCAATAATAACAATAATAATCTTTATTTATATTCTGCTCTATCTCCCCAAGGGGACTCAGAGTGTATTACATAACACATCCACAGCAAACATTCAATGCCATTATACAATTCACAAAGACAGATAGTACATAAACAGGTAATTACATAAATCTCACCAATACAAACATATTATTATTATTACTTCTATTATTCAAATGCTCAAAGGATTTTACATGCATTTAATCTGGAATCTTTATGGGATAAAGTAAATCTATATGGAAACCATCATAGTGAATCATGAGGCCTGCAAAAGGGTCCCCAAGACTTAATGGCAGAGTCCCATGGCTCACCATTCACGCTGCTATACTTTATAAGCTGATACTTCAAATTCAATAAAAGGACAAAAACCAGCAGGAACAAAAGCTTCACGGGAGAATGAGAAAATGAGAATGAGAAAACATTCAGAACACGTGTGGAAATCTTCTTACCATGGTTTTGCTTACCCATTGTGCTTAAATAATGGTTGATGGCTTGACACGGGGGACTTGGCGTCTGTGTGGCCTTATCGCAACTCATAGGTGCAGGGCTCCTGTCGATGTCAAAAGAGAAATACCCACTGGAGGACCTGGAGAGCAGTGGGGATCTTCTTACAAATATGAACAACGGGGATCTGGTCGCAAACGGGCTGGGGCTGGAGGGCGGTGCCAATGGTCCCTGAGGGCTACAAGGTGACGACACGTCCCGCTCGCCCGAATGGTTACCTGGGTACTCCGTCTGTAAGGAGGTCGGGGCCCCAGGCCGGAGGTGCGGGGGCTGGACCGGCCTTTCAGCAGGCTGCAGTTGCCCACCTTCTCTGTGGCACTCAGAATTCAAATCAGAAGATTGCTTTGCCATTTGGCCTTTTTTCCCCTTCCTTCCTCCTACGAAGAAAAACAAAAGGAAAAGGGACAACAGAGAGGAGACATGTCAATTCACACTTAGAATTCAGGGCTGCTACATTAATAGAAGTGACTTGCATAAAATCACTACTAGAATGCTAGCAATGCACATCACCCTTCATTTTCCATCCTGATAATCAAGTGCTTTTTTTTTAACTTGTCATGTTAAAAAAACAAAAACACACATACACAAGGATAGATGGACGTGTCAATAGCTTGTTATATTTAGGAGTCTGTTGGAAACTAGGCAAGTGACATTTATATACCTGTGGAATGTCCAGGGTGGGAGAAAGAACTCTTGTCTGTTGGAGGCAAGTGTGAATGTTGCAACTGGCCGCCTTGATTAGCACTGAATATCCTTGCAGCTTCAAAGCCTGGCTGCTTCCTGTCTGGGGAAATTCTTTGTTGGAAGGTGTTAACTGGCCCAGACTGTTTCTTGTCTGGAATTCCCCTGTTTTTTGAGAGTTGCTCTTTATTTTATTTACTGTCCTGATTTTACAGATTTTAATACTGGTAGCCAGATTTCCGAGGCTTCATGATGTCAAGTTAAATAGGCTGGGTGAGAGTATGCAGCCCTGCTATACTCCTTTCCCAATCTTGAACCAGTCTGTTTGTTCCGTGTTCTGTTCTTACTGTTGCTACTTGGTAGTTATAGATTCCTCAGGAGACAGACAAGGTGACTTGAATAGTCTCTAGAATAGTCAATAAAACAGAAATAGATGTTTTTCTAAAACTCCCTGCCTTCCTCCATTATCCCACGGATATTGGCAATTTGGTCTCTCGTTCCTTAAAAAGAGTCAGAAACAACTGAGCAAATAAACAGCAACAAGCCAGATTTTGTTCATTTTCATGATTTCCTCCTTTCTGTTGAAATTGTCCACATGCTTGTGGATTTCAATGGCTTCTCTGTGTAGTCTGACATGGTAGGTGTTAGTGGTCCAGAATTTCTGTGTTGTCAAATAATATGCTGTGTCCATGTTGGATCATCAAGTGCTCTGCTATGGCTGAGCAATTGGGGCCAGTTAACACCTCCCAACAAAGGATTCCCCCCAGGCAGGTAGCTGCCAGGCTTTGATCTGCAAGGCTATTCAGTACTCATCAAGGTAGCCAATTGCAACATTCACATTTGCCTCAGGCAGACAAGAGTTTTTTCTCCCACCCCGGACATTCCACAGATATATATAAACCTCACCTGCCTCGTTCCCAACAGACCTCACAACCTCTGAGGATGCCTGCCACAGATGTGGGCGAAATGTCAGGAGAGAATACCTTTAGAACATGGCCATACAGCCCAGAAAACTCTCAGCAACTCAATAAAGAAGTTGGCAGGACTGAAAGTGTTAGCTCAGGCATGGGCCAACTTCAGGTGTTTTGGACTTCTGCCATTCATAACAGCCTCAGGCCCCTTCCTTTTCTACCAGGTTAGTAGGTAGATGCACTTCTTGCCTAGCTGTTTCCATATCCCCTGATCACTGCTTGGCTTTGTACTGATTTTAGCCTCAGATAGTTGCCTTCAACCTGGGCTGAAGCCACAGCATCTGATGATCCTTGAAAAAAGAAGTTCCAAAGGAGTGGAGGTTGTCTGAGCCAAGGAACAGAGGCTGTTAACCAATTCCCTGTGCTTAAGCAGATGAGGGGGGAAAAGAAAGGGCCTGAGGCTGTTAGGAATGGTGGGAGCTGAAGTCCAAAACACCTAGAGGACTGACCCATGCCTCTGTTAGCCTCTGCTACCTCGGGGCTCTTCCACACAGCCCTATATCCCTGAATATCAAGGCAGAAAATCCCACATTATCTGTGTGTGGACTCAGATAACCCAATTCAAAGCAGACATTGTGGGATTTTCTGCCTTGATATTCTGGGTTATATGGCTGTGTGGAAGGGCCCTAAAAGGGCTATTTGGTGACAAAAAGTCTAGGTGAGAAGCCAAAGATCAAGGGCTCTTCCACATAACTATATATCCCAGAATATCAAGGCAGAAAATCCCACAATATCTGCTTTGAATTGGGTTATCTTGAGTCCACGGTGCCATATATTCCAGTTCAAAGCAGGAAATGTGGGATTTTCTGCCTTGATATTCTGGGATATAAGGATATGTGGAAAGACCCTAAAAAGGGTTATTTGGTGACAAAAAATCTAGGTGATCAGCCAAAGAGCAAGGGCCCTTCCACACAGCCCTATATCCCAGAATATAGGGCCGGCTGTGATAGCTGTTCAGTAGTGGAACTCTGTACCCCCAGAGTGTGGTGGAGGTTTTTTAAACAGGTTGGATGGTCATCTGTTAGGGGTGCTTTCAATGTGATTTTCCTGCTTCTTGGCAGGGGTTGGAATGGATGCCCCACGAAGTCTCTTCCAACTCTATGATACTATATCTTTTAAACTGATTTTTATTAAGAGTTTTTAAGATGGGGGGGTACATCCATAATATAGGAATTGATCAAATTAACAATTACATTAAAAAAAAGACAAATAGAGGAGGATGGGTATGGGGAAGGGTCTGGTAGGGAGGGGGGAGTGTAGGGATGGGGATGTGTGAAAGGTATGTGGGGGTTGGGGAGTGGGTTGGGGGAGAGTCCTTGGTCTTGATCTTCTATCTTGCCCCTTAAAACATTTTTGGTGTTATTGTTGTTTTCTAGTTGTAAGTCTCGTGTATCTAAGTCCAGTTAATCTTGAAGTATTTTTGATTGGATTCTATATCAAGGCAGAAAATCCCACAATATTTGCTTTGAACTGGGGTATCCGAATCCATACTCAGATAATGTGGGATTTTTCTGCCTTGATATTCTGGGATATAGGGCTGTGTGGAAGGGCCCTGAGTGTGGACTCAGCTAACCCAATTCAAAGCAGATGTGGAATTTTCTGCCTTGATATTCTGGATTATATGGCTGTGCGGAAGGGCCCTAAAAGGGGCTATTTGGTGACAAAAATAGGTGAGAAGCCAAAGAGCAAGGGCCCTTCCACACAGCCCTATATCCCAGAATATCAAGGTAGAAAATCCCACAATATGTGCGGCAGCCAGACTACTAACGGGAGGGGTCATGAAGCGGTGTCAGAGGGGTCACCAAAGACCATCTGAAAACCCATTATTTTCTGTTGTCCATGGGAGTTCTGTGTGCCAAGTTTGGTTCAATTCAATCGTGGGTGGAGTTCAGAATGCTCTTTAATTGGAGGCGAACTATAAATCCCAGCAACTCCAACTCCTAAATCTCAAGGTCTATTTTTCCTAAACTCCACTAGTGTTCACATTTGGGCATATTGAGTATTTGTGCCAAGTTTGGTCCAGATCCATCATTGTTTGAGTCCACAGTGCTCTCTGGATGTAGGTGAACTACAACTCCTACACTCAAGGTCAATGCCCACCAAACCCTTGTTGGTCATGGGAGTTCTGTGTGTCAACAATTCCATCGTTGGTGCAGTTCAGAATGTTCTTTGATTGTAGGTGAACTATAAATCCCAGCAACTACAACTCCCTAATGACAAAATCAATATTCCTCCCAACCCAGCCAGTATTCAAATTTGGGCGTATTGGGTATTTGTGCCCAATTTGGTCCAGTGAATGAACATACATTCTGCATATCAGATATTTACATTACGATTCCTAACAGTAGCAAACTTCCAGCTATGAAATAGCAAGAAAAATGATGTTTAGTTTGGGGGTCACCACAACATGAGGAACTGGATTAAGGGGTCACAGCATTAGGAAGGTTGAGAAACACTGTTTTAATGACTGTCTGTAATATTGATGTTGGAAACCGGCCTGAGTCCCTCGAATGGAGGTGAGAAGACCAGTATACAAAACTGCCAAATAAATAAATAAATAAACAAACAATATCTGCTTTGAACTGGGATATCTGAACCCACACTCAGATAATGTGGGATTTTCTGCCTCGATATTCTGGGGTTGTGTGGAAGAGCTCAAGAAGAAGTTCTAAAATGTGAAAGAGAAAAGAACTAGGCGCCTAGAAAGAGTCCTTCAGTCAAAATCAAAACAGCAACAACAACAAAAAGTTTGAAAGCAGGGCTTGCTGGCCACCACTGCCAGGGCTCCAAGTCGAGCTGTGTTTTGGGGGGGAAGGAGAGAGAAAAAGAAAGGGGCGAATCCGCGCTTTTTGAGAAAAGGAACCCAGGCTTGAACTGGGCTCAAGAGAGAGAGCAGGCTCGGGGCTGGAAACGTGGAGGGAGCCGGCGCTGGGCTTGCGCCTCCGGACGGGGGAAGCCAAGCGAGTGGGCCAGGCTCCCGCTCCATTGTTCGGCCGAATATGCTGATGGCAGCAAGTCTGGGAGATTTGGCAAGAGACCTCGGTTGTAAAGTGCGTCACAATGGAGAGAGAGAGAGAGGGAGAGAGAGTTGGTGCTCCTCGGCTCACTCCTCCTCCTCCTTGGCCAGACCCTGCGCTGTGTTTACAAGGGCTTCGGAAGAAAGAGAAGGAAGGCGCACGGGAAACGCATCCCAGGAGGCTGCTTCTCCTCCTCCTCCCAAAGCCAGGGTGTTTTGCTCTCTCTTGGGGGCGGGCTTGGCTAGTCAAACCAACCCCCCCCCCCCCCAATAAGGCGACTCCAGACAAAACAAAGCCCGGCTCGGTGACTGTGCAGAACACCCTCACCTTTGTTGATTTCCCCTTTCAACCTGTTGTGGACTGATGAAGGAGCTCATCACACTCCAGACTGAATCCACTTTCAATCCGGTTTCTGCCTCCCTGCAAAATTCTGGAGGGATTTGTAGTTTAGGGAGGAGACTTTAACAGCCTCCCTAAACTACAAACCCCGGATTGAAAGCGGATTCATTCTCGAGTGTGAAGTTGTGTTGGTGAAGCCGCAGTGTGAGAAGCGCTTGCTCGGCGCCAGCCAACAACAGGTTGGAAAAGGGCCCGAGTTGGAGCAAAGCATCCCACGAAGGAAAGCACACAAAAGGTGCGGATGGAGAGGGGGACGGACTGGGGGGAAAAGCCCACGAAGGGAAGGGACTCGCGAAGGAGCCCAAACTCGCTTGTCGCCCAACAAAGGAAGAGAGGAGGGAGATGGGCAGAGCCAGAAAGGAAAGAGGGAGCAAGAGAGGAGGGCAGAGCCAGAAAGAAAGGCAAGAGGGAGAAAGGGGGGAAGGCAGCCGACGCAGAAGGGGCTCCACTTACGCTTGGCTTTGTGTTTTCAGAGCGCCGAAGTCCTCATCTCCAAAGGCGAGTCTGGCACTGAGAGGCCAGGAGGGCACCCACTCCGCGCTCTGCCTGCCTTTGCCTTTGCCTCTCTCTTTCTCTCTCTCTAACTCTCTCTCTCTCTCTCTCTCCAAACGAAGGGGGAGGAGGAAGAGGAGGAGGGAGGCCAATCAGGGCGAGGCCACCATGCTCAAGGCTCCGCCCACCGCGCGAGGCCAGTGTTTACAAACTCAGCCCTGGAGCGCGCCCTCCGCACGCGCACGACACACACACACGCACACACACACACACAGAGAAGCAAACACACCCTCTGCTCTCTCTGTGTCCCCAGAAAGACGCTATATACTCCTGCCTCTTCCTCCTCCTCGTTGTTGTTGTTCCTTTGCCACCCGAGTCTTAGGGCACGCCCCCCCCCCTTTTCCCCTGCCTTCTTGCTTTCCTTCCCGCGAAGCCTGGCAACACGCGCGTTTCTCGTGGCACCACCTGACGCCGCGCTTCGTCAAAGGGAAAGGCAGCCAAGCAAAGCCGAGAGAGAGAGAAGCCCCTCCTCTTGGAGCCCCCTCCCTTTCGCCCACCCTAGACAGGGGCTCCAATCCCCTTCCCCACCACACTCCCCCCCTCCTCTTCCTCAGGGGCGGATGAAGCAAGAGGCAAGAGACGCATCTGCGTATAGCGCCAATCCCCGAGGGGCGCTCTTGAGGCGCCCCCGGGGGTACGAAGGGAAAACGGCAGCCCTGCGTGGAAACTTCCCGCAGAATAAGCTGTGGAGACGGGGACGGGGAGGCGAGAGAGAGGAAGGAGGGAGGGTCTTCCTCCTCCTCCTGTTAACAAGGGAACATCGACGCTCGGCTCTGCCTCCTAGAAATCGCAAGAGAGCCCACTCCCTTCCTCTCTTTTGGGCCCACTCGCCTTCTTTCTTTCTCTGTCCCCAAACAATCCCTCGTGCTCTGGGAGGGTTGCGCCTCCGCCTTCCTCTTCCAAAGCACAGCTTTCTTCGCCCTGCTCCTCCTCCTCCTCTGCTGATGGACTTACGTGGCCCCGCTCTCTCCTCGAGAGAGAAAAAAAGGAAAGCCACCTTCCTCTCCTCGGTGGCAGTCTGGGCTCCCCCTCCAGCAGAGAGAGCCACCCTCTTGCCAACAAGGCAGCCCCAAAGCACAGCAGAGCCTCAGCCCTGAGTGGCTGGGGAGGGGGGTTCTTCTTGGAGTCCTCCTGGAGGACAAGGTAAACATGAGCCAACAATCTCATGCAGTGGCAAAAAAAAGCGGCAATGGGATTTTGGCCCTTATCAAAAGAGCCTAGTGTCTAGATTCAGGGAAGTCAGGCTACCTCACTATTCTGCCTTGGTCAGACCACATCTGGAATCATACTATGTCCAATTTTGGGCAACACAATTGAGGGGAGATATTGTCAAGCTGGAATGTGTCCAGAGGAGGGTGACTAAAATGATCAAGGGCCTGGAGAAACAGGCCCTATGAGGAGCGGCTTAAAGAGCTGTGTATGTTTAGCCTGCAGAAGGGAAGGCTGAGAGGAGACTTATTTATTTATTTATTTGGTAGTTTTGTATACCGGTCTTCTCACCTCCATTCAAGGGACTCGGGCCGGTTTCCAACATCAATATTACAGACCATCATTAAAACATCATATTTCTAAATCACATTAAAACATTGAAACAATTAAAATGGCAAAAAATACAATCATATGATTACAGTGGTCAGTCGTCATCAAAGTCATTATTCGTCGTCATCCATCCATATCACAGGATCATGGCTCATTCGTCGAATGCCAATCCCCAAAGCCAGGTTTTCACCTGTTTCCTGAACGTTAAGATCGAAGGGGCACTTCTGATCTCCAGTGGAAGGGAGTTCCAGAGTCGAGGGGCCACCACCGAGAAGGCCCTGTCTCTTGTCCCCACCAGCCATGCCTGTGAGGCCGGTGGGATCGAGAGCAGGGCCCCTCCAGACGATCTTAGTAATCTTGTTGGCTCATAGGGAAGGATACGTTCAGACAGGTAAATTGGACTTAATGAGGGCCATGTATAAATATGTGTGGGGAAGTCATAGGGAGTAGGGAATAGGCTTGTTTTCTGCTGCCCTGGAGACTAGGACACAAAACAATGGCTTCAAACTACAGGAAAGAGAGGAGATTCCACCTGAACATGAGGAAGAACTTCCTCACTGTGAGAGCTGTTCAGCAGTGGAACTCTCTACCTTACAGTGTGGTGGAGGCTTTTAAACAGAAGCTGGGTGGCCATCTGTCTGGGGTGCTTTGAATGCAGTTTTCCCACTTCTTGGCAGAATGGGGTTGGATTGGATGGCCCACCAGGTCTCTTCCAACTCTTCTTCACCTGCCTCTCAGGGGTGAAGCACAGGCCAGTGTCGCACAGGAAAACAGCCCACACAAATTTCCCCTCTTTTGGAAGATGGACCAGGCATGGGCCAACTTGGGCCTTCCAGATGTTTTGGACTTCAACTCCCACCATTCCTAACAGCATCAGGCCCCATCCTTAAGCAGCTAAGTGGGGGGAAGAGCCTGAGGCTGTTAGGAATGGTGGAAGTCCAAAACACCTGGAGGGCCCATTCCTGAGACCCTCGCTATATTCTTCCTTATTCATGTCCAGATTTTCCCACAGCCTCCCTAAATGGCTCTTTTTGTTTCCTAACCCCTCTAGCTTTGAGCTCCACATAAACTTGCCACATGCTGCCTTTTGTTTTCTACTCTTCCTTCAGTCTTTATATTGTGATGACTTTTTGTTCTTCCCTTGTGTTCTGTGTAGAGAAATACTGCACTGCCTCCATGTTCTCTTTGGGCACCTTTGTCTGGTTGCCCCATTCCAGACTCACAACAACATTGCAATCTCGCACTCTTTCACTATGGCGTTCACCGACCAAAGCTTTCCACTGATTCAGATCTGAGCCCTACAATTCCTCTACACATAGCCGCTGTGTTTCTTGCTCTGTCTATCTAAAATGAGATCCAATGTGAGGCAGTGGTGCTGTGCCCAGAATGCAAGAAATCCAGGTTCAAATTCCCTACTAAAGTTTGAGGACAGTTCTCTCTGCTGCTTCTCAGTCTCTTGGATCTTATCTGACAGAATTGTGTTGCTAAAAGGTCCTAGATCAGTGTTTCTCAACTTGGGGGTCAGGACCCCCAAGGGGTTACGAGGGCGTTTCAGAGGGGTCACCAAAGACAATCTGAAAACACATATTTCTGATGGTCTTAGGAACCCCTTTGCCAGAGAAGGCTGAAGATCTTGCTATCTGTACTTCTTTTCAATTTTGGAAACGGACGGCAAATCCTCCCACTAAAAGCCCTCCTCCTGCTCTCTGGATGTAAGTGAACTACAACTCCAATACTCAAGGTCAATGCCCACCAAACTCTTCCAATATTTTCTGTTGGTCATGAGGGTTCTGTGTGGAAAGTTTGACCCAATTCTATTATTGGAGGGATTCAGAATACTTCTTGATTGTAGGTGAACTATAAATCCCAGCAACTCCCAAATGTCAAGGTCTATTTCCCCCAAACTCCACCACTGTTCACATTTGGAAATTTTGAGTATCTGTGCCAAATTTGATCCATCAATATTTGTGTCCATGGTGCTCTCTGGATGTAGGTGAACTAAAACTCCAAAATTCAAACCCTTCCAGTATTTTCTGTTGATCATGGGAGTTCAGTGCACCAAGTTTGGTTCAATTCCATCGTTGGTGGAGTTCAGAATGCTCTTTGATTATAGGTGAACTATAAATCCCAGCAACTACAACTCTCAAATGGCAAAATCATTTCCCCCACAAGCCCCACCAGTATTCAAATTTGAGTGTATTGGGTATTTGTGCCAAATTTGGCCCAGTGAATGAAAACACATCCTGGATATCAGATATTTACATTGCAGTTTGTAACTGTAGCAAAATTACAGCTATGAAGTAGTAATGAAAATAATTTTATGATTGGGGGCCAAAATGAGGAACGATATTAAGGGGTCGTGGCATTAGGAAGGTTGAGAACCACTGTACTAGAAGGATGGAAAGGAGAGAAACGTAAAAGATAACAATTCTGCCCTGAGCTACCGTTTCTCAAACTGGAGGCACCAGCAGGAGAGGCAGTGCAAAGTTTTGCATGTCTTATTGGTAACAGGTCTGTAAACAGTCAAGGCTGCTGGCCTCTTTCCTTTTACTAGCCTCTCTCTCCTTGGCCAGCTGCCTGTCTAAACAATCACAGTGCTGATACATTATGAGACACCAGGTGCCCTCTCCTTCAGCTGATTTGGGGCTTTAAAGGCGGGGCTGTGCTTTACTACAGCAGGGGTTGTAAATTCCCTGGAGTTGTTGAAAGAGGAGAGTGGTGCAGGAGATACAAGAACAATAGAGATTGGAGTGTGAGAGTTGGAAGGTAGGAGTAATGCTGCTGGCAATTACTCTGGACGCAAAGTAAGGGGGAAGGTCTTCCAGATAAGACTCTTAAGCAGAGAGAAAGATGGTGACAGTGTAGTAGATGTCAAGCAGGAAGTAAACACCAAGCTAAAGTTAATTCCCACAGACATGAGTCATCTGAAAGATTTAATACATTTATATACTATCTTTTGCAGGACTCAAACTAGCATACCCATGTTGTATCCCATCCAAGTGGTGATTGATCCCAGATCTTGGTTACTGTGAGTTTTCCAGGCTGTATGACCATGTTCTGGCATCCTTGAAGTGACTGGATTCACCCTCAAGGAGCTGGAGGTGGTGACAGCCAAAAGGGAGCTCTGCCATGGGCTGGTCCATGAGGTCACAAAGAGTCGGAAACGACTGAACGAATTAACAACTCCCTATATTCATCTTCCCCAGCATTAAAATCTATACATATCCATCCATCCACATAATAAAAGTGAAAAAATGTGTATTTGTTGGAGGTGTCCACTTACACAGACAGCTTCCAGCCTCCACAATCAGGCTACAGTTCTAAGTCCTGAGAAGCCTCCAAAGGCATTCCTTCAACTGACATTGCAGGTTAGAGCGAGCAACATGACCATACAGCCCAAACACTGCCAATGTCCTCCCCAAACACTACAGCCCTTCACACAAGGAATACTTTCATTCGGGGACAATTTCATCCTAGATTTGATGTGTTTCCTCCACCAGGCAGGCATCCCAGGGTTCCTTGTGTGAAATTTGCATGACCCTGCCCACTGCCTCTCCCTTAATCCTTTCCTACCCTTTCTTACAGCCTACAGCAAACAAAGAGGAATTAATCAGCAACTGAACAGACTGGAGGGGTTTGGGGGACTGATTTAACCGGTATCCAGAG